TATACGGTGTGGTGATTCGCTTCTGGTTGGCCTGTGGTCGCTCTCCCGAGGGGAGGATCTCAACATTCTCCTGGCCCTCCTGGACACCGAGACAGAAAAGACAGAAAGTCTCAGGGAGTATGTTCTGGGTTGAGGGGGAGGATGATGATGACAACGATGACAATCACCACTACCACAATCGCTTATTACATTACAGCCAGCGCTCATGCTGCTGTAGTTAGTGACACCTCATTTAGTCCGCACAATAACGTTACATGGTACGGGTGACAGTGCCCATTTTAGAGGCTCAGAGTGGAAGCTAACTTGGCCAAAGTCTCAGACCTAGTGAAAGAGAAGAACCATGATTGGGATTCCAGAGCCAGGTGCCTCATCCAGAAGAGAGAAGCGGACAGCCTGGAGATGGGGTGGTCCCAGAACATTAGCTGTATGCAAAGTCCTTGAGCACAGACAACAAATCTCTCTAAGCAGGAGGCAGGGAGAAAGCACTCCATCTTTCAGACAGGGTAACTGAATCAATAGGTCAAGTGGCTAAAAGTCCAAGTGACGGCAGAAATATACACACATTCACATGCATTCAACATTACCTATCAAGCATCTGTCATGTGCCAAACATCATCATAATGGATGATAAGACAGCAAACTATGCATTTCTGTTCTCAAAGAATTCAGTCGGGGGGGCCTGGGTAGCTCCACTGGTTAGGCGACTGCCTTCAGCTCAGGTCATGATCCCGGGGTCCTGGGATCGATCGGGCTCCCTGCTCAGCGGGAGGCCTGCTTCTCCCTCTCCCACTCCCCCTGCTTGTGTTCCCTCTCTCGCTGTCTCTCCCTCTCTGTCAATTAAATAAAAATCTTTAAAAAAAAAAAATTCAGTCAGGAGAGGAGATGATGAGTAAACAAAACAGCAGGTGCTACAAAGGGAGGCAAGTGTGCAACAAAATTAACAAGAAGCTGGGGGTTAGAAAGACAGTCCAGAGATGAGACTTGGGCTACTTAAGAAGAATGAGTAGAAGCTGCCAAGCCAATGAGGAAGAGAAGGGCATTCTAGGCAGGCCGAGTTGCATGTATAAGAACACAGGGGTGGGAGAGGATGTACTAGTTGTGAAGTATGCTTAGAGCAAAAGGTGAGCATAGCGTTTTAGGCAGGAGAGTAAATTCTATAATAAATAATTAGGGACACTTGGCTGGTTCGGTGGGTAGAGCATGTGACTTTTGATCCTGGGGTCATGAGTTAGAGCCCCATGTTGGGTGTACAGATTACTAAAATAAATAGATAAACTTTTAAAAACAACAAAGAATTAAGTCAACAAATATTTACTGAGTGCTTACTGCGTGTCAGATAGTGTTCTAAGTGCTTGAAATAGAAGAGTAAGACAAATAAAAATTCTTTCCCCTACAGAGCTGACATTATGAGAAAAGATAAACAAAATTAACAAGTAAAATATGTAGTATAAAAACAAAAGAAAAAATAAGTAAAATTAAAAACAAACAGAAAAAAAGACAGGGAGTGCCAGGATGGGTGTGTTGGAGGTGGAGCATGTTGCCACTTCAAATAAGATGGTCATGGAAGCCTCACTGAGGGGACACTTGGACAAAGGCCTGAAGGAGGTAAGCAGTAGGTCATGTGCATTTCTTACAGGAAAAGCATTCCTGTAAGAGGGAACCAGGTAATCAAAGATCCTGAGCAGGAGTGACCTGGCAGGGACAGCAAGAAGAGATGAGAAAGCAGGCGGCCAGAACGTGGAGAACCTTGTACTTCTGTTTGGCACTCACTCTGTATAAGATGGGAAACCCCTGGATGAGAGTTCTAAATAGAGGAGAGACACAATTTGACTTAAGATTTAAAGGTATCCCGACACCTGGGTGGCTCAGTCGGTTAAGCATCTGCCTTCAGCTCAGGTCATGATCTCAGGATCCTGGGATAGAGTCCTGCATCAGGCTCCCTGCTCAGCGAGGAGTCTGCTTCTCCCTCTCCCTCTGCCCCTCCCCCGGCTCATGCGCACGCACTCTCTCTCAAATAAATAAAGTCTTTAAAAAAAAGTAAGATTTAAAGGTATCCCTATGGATGTTCTGTTGAGAATATTTTGCAGAGCGCAAGGGCAGTTTATAAGTTTATCTATTTATTCCCTCTAGGAAGACCAGTAGTAATCCATCAGGTAAGAGAGACCACTCCGGCAGCAGAATGGCAAATCAAGCAGTGTAGCAGGAGACTGAAGGCAGGAAACCCAGTAACACATTTCCACAACAAAATGAGTGAAAAGCAATGAAGACCTAAAGCAGGCTGAAGCACTAAGAATGGAGAAACAGAACCAGGGCCGGACCATGTGTGGGAAGCAGAATCAACAGAATAGGGATGGTAGGGCACCAGGAGAATGGGGAGGAGGTTTCCGACTCAAGTGAATAGGTACCTGAGAGTGCCATGCAGAAAGAGAAAAACCAAAAAGGGCGGCTTTGGCTTTCAAGCCTAAAAAAACTGAGGGATCGTTCCCTTTATGGGAGCCATAAGGCAGTTCTTCCTCCATCAGTCACAGGGCAGAAAGCTCTATGTCTTTCATGAAGTTAGCAACCCATCCACCTGGTTTTGCAAGCCGGAAACCTGGGGGTGGCCTTTGTCATTTCCCACTTTCTTAGCTCTGTATCCAATCCACCAAAATATGTTTCATCCATTTTCTCATCACCTACATTATGAGCACCCAAGTCCAAGCCACGGGTCTCTCACCTGGATGGAGAGACTCTAATGGTCTCTTTTACTCCTGCTCCTCCCCAACTCACTCGTCACCCTGAGGCCAGAATGCCCTTTCTAAAGTGTAAACTGGATCGTGCCACTTTCTGCCTCAACACTTGCCGGTGGCGTCCAGTGCCTTTAGGCTAGAAAATCCTGCCTGATGTGGGCCCTGAGCTCTCCAGCTTTATCCCAGGTCACTCCCCCGCTTGGCTCCTTACATAAACCCTGCCCACTGGGCACCTAGTACATAAACATTCAACATATGCTTGCTGAATGAATGATAATATTTCACCCATCAGCAAACCAACTGCCCCAAAAGCCACAGGTTATGGCCCACCCTGTAGGACTTTTTCACTACTCAGGACTGGAGCACTGCTCACTCATTCAGACAATTATCACTGACGCTTATTTGGCAGCTTGGGCTGCAGAGGAAGGGAGCCCACAGCTAACTACTGACCTCCTCGGCATTCTCCAAGTCACCTAGTCCTTCATCCTCCTCCACGTCATCAAAGTCGTCGCCATCAAAACTGTATAAGAAGAAGGGATCAGTTAGTTGGAGCATCACACTAGAATCAAAGAAAAAAGAGATCTCTGTCTCATCCGATATGTAAAAAGGGCTCAATAATAAAAAACTAGTTAATGAGTGAATCAAACTTCTGTTCCATTTTACTCCTTCATCCGTACTGCATCAGTCCACAAATTTTGCTAGGACTCATTCATTCACCATCACTGTTTCCCTCTCTACTGGATCATTCCCATCGACATATAAACATGTAGTTATTTCCCCATCTTAAAAAACAAACGGGGCGCCTGGGTGGCTCAGTCGGTTAAGCGCCTGACTCTTGGTTTCAGTTCAGGTCATGATCTCAGGGTAATGGGATGGAACCCTATGTGGAGCTCTGCGCTCAACATGGAGTCTGCTTAAGATTCTCTCTCCCTCTCTCTCTGCCCTTCCCCACCTCTCTCTTGCTCTCTCTCAAATAAATAATCTTTAAAAACAAGCAAAGAAACAAAATTTACTTCTCTTATACCTCCCAGGGCCCTAGTTCCATGCTTCTCTTAGAAGCAAAATTCATGAGAGATGCCCATCTTCCCTGTCTCCAATTCCTCTCTTCCCATTCTGTCATAATCTCACTCCAGTAAGACCTCCACCTCCACAGTTCCAGCAAAACCACTCTTCTCAAGTTCATTAATGACTGCCACTGCTAAATCCAACTGACAATTCTTGTTCTCATTTAGCTTGATCTATCAGTTGGCATACTAGACCACTTCCCCACTCCCCCCCCCACCACTCAATATACCCTCCTCACTTGACTGCAAGGCCTCCTCTCTCTTGGGGTTCCCCACCTCACTGGCTGCTCCATCTCGGTCTCCTCTGCTGGTTTCCCCTTTTCCCACGAGTACTCAATGCTAGAATGCTCTAACAACTCGATCACCAGCATCTACGCTTCCCTACTGACATTCTGATTCTTAGTTTTGACTAATATACTTATGCTGATGATTCCACTATTTTTATCTTCAGAAGAGACTCCCCTCCAACCCCGCACATCCGGAAATCTTCGCGCCCTACCTTCGAAATCAATCCAGAATTCAAAACCACTTGTCACCACGGCTACTAGTGTCACCCCAGTCCAAGCCGCTACCTTCTTTCACCGAGATTACTGCAACCCTTCCAGACCTTTACCACCCCCGGGTCTCACCACACTCTCCCCTGGATGACTTCGATACTACACACTTCTACCGCGTACCCTCACACGACCCCGTACTATGTTTCTGGGCCTGTCCCCTCTCCGCTGAGCAGGGACTATGCCTGATTCACCCCAGTACTCCCATTACAAAACACACAGCCCGGCCCGCTGGAAGTCTGCTGAAAGACCTTTTTCGCTGCTCCTCTCTGGAACCTCGAGTCGGGCCTTTCCGTGCCCAACCTCCGGCGGGTCTCTGCTCCTGGCTCCCCGCCCTTCCCCTCTCCAGCCCCCCGAGACCCCTCAGCACCCACAGTCCCCTCAGACACTGCCCCTCGAGCCTGGCTCCACAACCTCCTTCGGCCCAGGCTCCCGCTTCACCCGCTCCTTCTGAAGCTCCGGCACTCACTTGTCCTCGTTGTCTGACATGACGCCAGCACCGCCGCCCGCACCGCAAACAGCGTGCCCGGCCCCCGCGCGGCGCCCCGCGTACTCTGCGCCTGCGCCGTGACCCAGAGGCAAGTACTTCCGGGAGGCAGGCCGGAGCCCTAACTGTGCGCACGCGCCGAGAGGCGTGTGCCCGTTACCATGGGAGCCAGAGCAGCTGGTGGAGGCTCTGGTTGCCGCGATCTGCGAGTATTTGTGCGGGGCCCAGGCGCGGTGCCGCTGCGGAGCTGTGGTTCCGGTCCCCCGAGCCCAGCCGCTCTCTGTGGCGGGGGGCAGCCAGCCGGGGTCTTACTTTAGGGTGAGGTTTCAATTTTGGCGTATCCCCCAACGGGCGCTGTCCGGACCACTGCTATCCTAACATCCCCTTCCTCCAGAGACGCTTCCCTGCCGCAGGCGTCGGGTCAGGATGAGGTCTCCGTTCGTGTGTCTGGGTCGGCCTGTGTATCTGTTCGGGGTAGGAGGATAGGGCACTGTCGAGAAATTGACGGCGACGTCACGATTCTCCTGTGGCTCCACCCCCGCTCCCACAGTTTGGGTGGCGTTGTGGGGTGCGCGAGCAGAGATTGGACCTGGGAGACGGGTTGTGCCATTGCGTTTTTCCCTCCTCAGAGCCCTCCCATGGCTTCCCAGGAAAGGGTGGAGGCAGTGACCAAAGGAACAGAGTTCTGGCGCTGCCCCAAGCCGGCCACTTACACCCCGGGGACCTGCGAGCTGCTCAGAGGTCAGTGTGTTTAAAGGACAGGAGAAGAGTGGTGATAACAGTTACCCTCTGTTCTCCCCTACATGACCTGTGGCTTAGCAATTGCTATTGTCATTTTATAGATAAAAAGCCTGGGGTTCAGAAAAGTTCAGGGATCCTACAACTCGCAAGTGGCCAAAAGTCAAAGAAATTAGAATTTTAAAGAGATGGGCTCCTATGCATCCCTTAGGCCACACTTTCAATTTCCCCAGGAAGCCTTATCTCTTCCCTACCCACCACCACCACAGTGGAACCAACGGTTCCTCCCTTTGACACCACCAAATACCTTTTCCTTCAATGGACAACACAACCTGTAGTCAGATATTTAGTTGTCTCCCATTAGATCAATATTCATCTACCCCTCTAGACCATCAACTCCATCAGGGCAGGGATTTTGCCTGTTTGGGCTCACAACTGTAGCTCCAGCCCCTGGCACATGCTTAATAAATATTGTCCATTCATTCATTCACTCAACAACAGCAAAAATTTAAAACCTACTTCATGTGCTTTAGACATTGTTCTAAGTCCTGGGGATACAGCAGTTAAAAAAAAAAAAAGGAAAACAGCAAAAATTCTTTCTGTCTCATGGAGCTAATATTCTAGTAGGAGGGGGACAATAAATAAGTAAAATATATAGAATTTTGATGGTAATAAGTGCTCCAGAAAAAAACAAGGAGAGGAGTACTCAGGCGCAGAATGGGGTTGGGGGGTGATACAGTTTTACACTGGAATAGGGTGAAATGAAGGGCTCTGCCTGCCACCCAGGAGGCTTCATGGAGGTGCTTTATCTTTGCAGTGATGATGAAGGAATCCAAGCTGACTAACTTCCAACAGCGCCACATCATGGACACCATGAAAAGTAAGAGGCAGTCCACAGAGGCTTCCTGGGCAGAGGGACTCTGGACAACACTTTTAATCCTCTTCCATATTAAGGGGTAGGGAAGGGACCTCATTTAAAAAGACCAAAGAAGGGGCGCCTGGGTGGCTCAGTTGGTTGAGTGTCTGACTCTTGGTTTAGGCTCAGGTCGTGATCTCATAGACTGTGAGATCGAGCCCATGAGGGCTCCCACCCAACGGGGAGTCAGCTTGAAGGATTCTCTCCCTCTGCCCCTTCTCCTATGGGCTCTCTCTCTCTCTCCCATTCTCCCTCTAAAAATAAATAAATAAATCTTTAAAACAAACAATAAAAAATTAAAATACCAAAAAAAATTTGAGGAGTATTTCTGACCCCTGCTCCTGGGGAATTGACCTTTTAGGGCTTTTGCTTCTTCCCAGGTCATAGGTCCTAGCACAACAACAAGCCTCTTGCAGTCTGTCTCTGGCCAGCCTTCTGAGAGATCACAGCCCAATCGAGACATCCTGCCCAGCCAAAATAGTCTCCACATGGTCATGTCTGCCATCTGTCCCTTCCTGTTATACACATACCACATGAGCTCTCTGGAGGAAAGGACTGTGTGTGTGTGTCTTACTCATAGTTTGATTCAGTCACAGCTTAGCTAGCAGAAGCAAAACAATTGGCAGAATTCCAACATCGGAAGAGTGTGCAAAGGCTTCCCACAGCTCACCTCTGGCCACCCACTGTATTAGTTATTTTGAAGAAAAACCAAAAAGTGGAAGGACATGGGTACGATAGGAAGGTGCTCTCCAAGATCTTGAACACTACCTTCCTGAGATGTAACTGAATCCGCATTTAATGGATCAGAACAGAGACCTGGGAAGTGGCCTTGAAGAGAATGTCAGAATCCTCTACTGAGTCTACCAGAAGTGATGGCCTTAGGTGCCGAAGGGTGTGCTTATGGGAGGACACCCTGAGCAGCCACAGGAGGAAAGGGGAGGGAGAACCAGAGAGGCAAAGATAGGCAGTACGTGTCCAGCAGCGGCCGGGGCAGGCTCTGCCACGCCAGCACAGGGGTCAGATCCTCCTCGTTGGGGACAAGGACAACTCAGGCTGTCAGAGCCCGAAGCCATAGCACTTCCCCATCCCATCACTCCATCTCTGCACTCAGCAGTCCACAAACAATCTGGTGCCCACTGCCACATGACTACAAAGAGAAGGTGCTAGAAATTCCACTAAAAGTAAATTCCAGGAGACCAAGGACTATGTCTGCCTTGTTCACCCCAGTACCCCCAGCGCCCAGGTGCTGGATATTTACTAAAGGACTGATTTGATTAGTGGGGAAACCAAGGTAAGGAACGGGTTTGCTGGACAGTTTTATTCTCCTAAGTTTGCTTTTTCTTATTTATTTATTAAGATTTATTTATTTATTTATTAAGATTTATTTATTTTAGAGAGAATGGGAGGAAGGGCAGAGGGAGAGAGAGGAATCTCAAGCAGACTCCATGCTCAGAACATAGCCCCACATGGGGCTCAATCCCAAGACCCTGAGATCACGACATGAGCCAAAACCGAGAGTCAGACTCTTAGGCAACTGCACCACCCAGGTGCCCCCTTAGTTTTCTTTTTTAAAAACTTGCCTCCAAGCATTGCTGTTGAGTCAGCTTTCTTCTAGAATCCCCTCTTTTTTTTCTACTCTTAACCAAATCCTACTTGTCGCTTTGAGGCTTCATTCGAATTCTGTTGCAAGCCACAAATGCCTCTCCTTCACCTGAACTCCCAGAATAACTTGGGCTGTAATCATCTGCTGAGGATGGGCCAGAGGAGGAGGTAGCAATGGCCCTGGACAGGCGGACATAGGGCGTGGAGGGAGCAGGAGGGACATTCTAGGAAGCACATCTCTTCAAAGAAGAGCGTGGTGGGGCTCTAGGTAGAGGCTCTGGGAAGGGGAGGGTTAGTGGGACGTAATGGTGACTCCATGCTTCCAGGCCCTCAGGACAGACACCTCAGAACCACCCTTGACTCCTCTCTTTCTCCCAGACCGCACATCCAACCCATCTGCGTGGGTCAGCTTGCCCTTCAAACCATATCCTGACTCTGACCACCTCTGCCCTTGGCCCCCACACCGTATTCTCATCAGCAGCCAAAGGACCATGTAACTTCTTTGCTCAAAACCTTCTGATGGCTTCCCACCTCAAAGTAAAAGTCAGTCTTTCCAGAGGCCTACAAGGCCCTAAACTTCTCTTGCCCTCCCTGACCTCTGACTTCTACTCGCACTAACCCCCGCCTTGCTCACCCCGTTCCCGGCACCCTAGCCTCCTGGCTGTTGCTCAGACCCTCGAGGCACATTACCACCTCACGGCCTTTGCTCTAGCTGTTCCTTCCGCCTGGGATGCTCTTCCCCAAAGTATCTGCACAGCAGAGCTCCTCACCTTTGGGGTCTTCTCTCCAAGGTTACCCTCTTCATGAGGCCTTCCCTGCCTATCCTATGTAAAATTGCAAATCCTGCGGGGCACCTGGGTGGCTCAGATGGTTAAGCGTCTGCCTTCAGCTCAGGTCATGATCCCAGGGTCCTGGGATCGAGTCCCGCATCGGGCTCCCTGCTCCTTGGGAGCCTGCAAAAAAAAAAAAAAAATTGCAAATCCTGCTCTGACATACTCTGTTCCATCCCTGTACTGTCACAATCTATGTATTTTACATAAGCATCATGCACACCCCTCCAACCCCAAATCTAAGTTCCCTGAGGGCAGGACTTTGTCTTACTTTACTACTTTACCCCCAGTGTCTGGGGCCTGGCACAGAGCAGATACTCAGTATGTCTTTGCTGAGTGGATGATACAAGGTCGGAAAAGTAGAAGAGGTAGATGGGAACCAGATCAAAACAATGGGTGGGGCCTGCTCTGAGCTGGGCTTTGGGGCGATTGAGAGGGACTGGTGTGTATTACCATCCAAACCATACCTCCCTGCCTGTGGACCAAGCAGGTCTTAGGAATCCATCTATAGAAATAAAAGCACCAGTATAGAGGCTTGATGCACAAGAATGTTTATTGCAGCATTGTTTGAAGTAGTAAAAAAAAAAAAAAAGGAAAAGAAAGAAGAAGGAAACAGCTTGAATTTCTGAGATTAGGAGACTAGTTGAATAAAATAAATAATGTGTCCATTCTAAGAACTAGTATATAGCTATAAAAAATAAGTTATATATAAATGGAGTGATCTGGAAGGTTGTCCAGGATAAATTGTTAAGTGAAGGGTCTGTTGCTGAATATAATACAGTATGATCCAGTGTTTGAAACACAAAGGTCATATACGCACATATATCTTTGAACAGGTTTGTATAACATCAGAAAGTCTGGAACAAGACCACCAAATTCTAACAATTGCTCGTTGTGGGGTGGGGGTGGGGGTCAGAGGGCAGAAGGGAGGACTTCTATACTCTATGACTTGTAGCAAGGCGGTATCACTTTTATAAATTAACAAAACAAAACACAACCCAGGTGGCTTCCCACCCCCAACCCTGCCTCACCCGAACCTTCCTGCCCCAGGAGGAGACACTCTGCCCCTACAGTGCAGCCCAACATCCAGCCAGAGGGTCTTGCCTTCCAAACAGCCAGCCTCAGCCATCTACCTGCCTCCCATCCTGGCGGCCCGGCCCCACCTCCGGCCTGCCAGCTTGTGCCAAGCCAGCGGGGCCTACAGCCGGGAACCATTCAGGCCTCAAGCCACCCGTAAGTGAGAGGGCCTCGAGAGCCCCGATTCCCCCTCCCTCCCCAAGGGGGCAGTGAATTCCCATGCTGTGTATACTAATGTGCTTGAGCCTTGGCACTTGTTAGCTTGGGGTGTTCAGGGTATAGGGGAAACCAGTCAGGTGATCCTTTTTTGTTTTTTTAGAACTCAATAATGATTAACTGGAGTCCACCAGTCCCTGAGGAATGTTTGGCTGTCAGGTCTCACGGCCACTGCTCTTTTAAGGTCACACAGTCGCTCCAATCCAGAGCTCCTCTGCATGCCAGCCTCCTCCACGGAGCCTTTGTCCCCCTCCCTACTGGGCATCTGATGTAACTTGTGGCCCCGACCCACCGACAGCTCCCTGCAGCCTCTGTACCCAGGCTGCCATCATGGCAGTCACGTTTTCTTAGCCTCACTCTGCACCCGAGCAGCGTGTGGGTTCTGACTTCCATTCTGCCAGTCCTTCCCCTTCCTGCCTGTCTTGACACAAGCTCAGGGGCTCCCAGGGTAGAAGGCGCCTGGTTTGCAGAAGCCCCCTCCGTGTGGCCCAGGGGCCATGAAGGGGGTGCCCTGCCTGCCTTAATGAGGCCATTTCTGGGCCCTACAGGAGATCTGGAGAAAGAGAAGCGAAGACTCCAAAATATTTTTGCCACTGGGAAGGACTCAGAGGAACGGAAAAGAAAGCCCCCTCCAGTGCAACAGGAGGACTCGGCCCCTGAGCTGGACCGCTTTGAAGAATGTAAGCCACTGATGGGTCGCTTATGCTGGGGTGGGGGGTGTGGAGGGGCCCATGACCTGCGGCCAGAGTGAGAAACACTGGCCACAGAACTGCTTCCTCTCCCCACGAGAGGCAACCTGTTGCCCCCACCACCCATCCCAGGAGCCTGCTGGCCCCCTACTGCCCTGTACACGGACGGCCCTTCTCCCCTCGTCTAGTGGTAAAGGAAATCCAGGAGAGGAAAGAATTCCTGGCTGGCATGGAGGCGCTGGGACAGGGCAGACAGTACCGAGGGATCATCCTTGCTGAGATCTCCCAGGTAGGAGAAGCAACAGGGAAGGGGTGGGGGAGGGTCCGCCATGAGTGCGCAGCAGGAGACGTGAGTGGACAGGGCAGCTGTGGCCTAGGTCTGGCCCAGGTCTGGGAGTCCATTCTAGCCTCACATCAGCAGCGGCTCCTCAAGTTCCCTCCCTGATCCCCAGCTTTCCTTGATGCCTTTTGCAGAAGCTACGGGAAATGGAAGACATTGACCACAAGAGGAGTGAGGACCTTAGGAAGGCTCTTGCCACCCCTTGATCTGTCTCCAGAGACAGGGGCAGAGTAGCTCATCCTGGACCACTGGAGCCCACCCCCTGGCCAAGCAGAGTCACCCCCTGGTCAGCCCACCTACCCTGGCCTTCAGTCACATCAAATGGTCATGCAGCACTGCCCTGGCCTAGGGGACCCTGGGCACACACGGCACCCTAGAAAATGGACCAATCTCAGGGAATGAGCTGGTTCTCCTCAAGACTCTGCCCAGGGAGCCTGGGTCAGCTGAGCTGCTGAGACCCACAGTCACAGACACAGACATGCACCACACACACAATCACACACACGACTTCTAGTCTTTTCTCAGGGAAAAAGCCCATACACAGTGAAGGCAAGGCCCAATCTCACCATTTTGGGTGTGTGTCCAAGGGCATCCAACGGGCCTCTTCCTCCCCCCGCCCCCAACACCCACCGTGTGTCCTACATGTTTTCAGAACTTCGGAATGAAGACGATTCCTTCCTTCCTACTTGCCTTAGGACCTACTTATATGACTTCCTACAGCCTTAGGCAAATGTTTAACCACATGATTAATCGGCCAGTAAGACACATTTAACGTAGGTCATTACATACACTGTTTTGTTTTCAGAAGGATAGACTTATTTGTACATGGAGTTAGAATTTTTTCAAGCCCAGATGTTTTTTAGCTGTTTGCATATCTCAAGTGGAAATGAGAACCAACACTTCTTGAACACCCCAAGGCCGGGCACTGTGTCGGGCTGAATTTCACTTGGTTCATTCTCTCAATAAAACCCTCCGATGATAGTTGACGCTCCCTGTGTGAAATCTGAGGCTCCCCAAGACACTGTCACTAAGGTCATTCAACTGGCAAGGAGACCACTCAGGGTTAGAAGTTAGTTCTCGGGCTTTCCACGAAACCCACAGCCCACAGAAACACAAAGGTGGGAGATAGACCAAAAGAGCCTGGCTTTGGAGCTCCAATCCCAGTCTGTGCCCTGGGAGGCTGAGCAGCACCACAGCCTCAGCTCCGACTGCTCATGGGCGAGGCCCTGCCTCAGAGGGCTATGGAGGCAGCCCTGGGACCACACAGAAGTCCCCATGTCTTCTGACAACCACGAGCCCTGCACTGTCCAGGACTCTCTCACTTTCCTGTCCCCAGACATCAAAACAGTTTGGAAAATTCAACCAACACTCCCACCTGGAGGGATTCGTATAATCCTACAGGCCACATGACCCAAGTTTTGGGCTGCAGAACAAACATGGCCCCACAGCCTCAAACAGGTAAGCAGAAGGGGCCAGATCAAGGGCTGGTTCAGGAACATTTCCATGGGAAGCCTGTGTCCACATACCCTCCAGAACCTGAGGGCAGAGGGTATACCATGATAAGGACAGCTCTCCTCCACCTCAAAGGCCCCCTCATGTAGCTCCAAGGCAGCAAACTGGAGAACCCCAGGACACCTTGGGCCCACCCGTGACAACACAGCCTACCCTTGATTTAAATTCAGATTAGTTGCCAACATTTACAAATCACACACACACACAGTCTGGATTTCTAGCTTCTTTTGAAAAATGGAAAGGTCTGGCCACACTGGGCCCGCATTCCCACAGGCTACAGTTGACTTAAGGAAGGAAGAACTTCCCCCTTGAGTTGGGTCATAGACACCTCAGTTCACCTCAGTCCCTGCTACCTGAGTCTCCGGACACAAGACAGCCTGCCAGAGCCACCCCTCAGGTTACACCCAGCCTGGTCAGGTGTGTGACCTGCCTGGCCCTGAAAGCCTTTGGAGTTGGTGACCAGCTCCAGGTCAACAGGCATGTTTGGAAGGAGACCACCAGGAGCTGTGCAGGGGTGGGAGCTGCCCCTCCCCGCAGAGGAGGAGTCCTGCCCACTGGCAGGCCCTGGAGGCCCAGGCCCCTGGCCGTGGACAGCCCCACTCGCCCTCCCGGGCGACCAGAGAGGCCCGGCCACGGGGCATGGCGGAGGCAGGGAAGAAGGCGGACCTGGCTGAGGGCAAAGTGCCCAAGGCTCCAGGGCACTGGCAACTGAGGTTGTCTCCATTTATTGTTGGTGAGGAAAATCCTCACGAGTTAATACAGTGCGTACTTTCCCCAGAGGTGTGCTGAGGGAGGGGGCCCTGGAGCGCCCCAGAGATAGCTTATAGCAACAGTGCTTTGACCGAGGGCTGCTGGACACATTTCCTGGGGAAAAGGCAAATGTCCCCGTCGGCTCCTCCTCTCCCATGGCCATCAGAGGGGTGAGTAGCCATCATTCCTTCGGGGGGACGGGTTGGGAGAGAGCGGACAACAGTCAAGTGTGAGAAGACAGACTGGTGATGACCATACCCAGGAACAGGCCCACCATCCCCCAACCCTGGGGTGGTGGGGGGCAAGTCTAAATGAGGGGTCAGACTACAGTGTGTTAAGGAACCAGGATTAGCACCTCTGTGAAGCACAGCTCCCTCTGCTGATGCTTGGGGACCAGAACTGCCTCTGGGGCCTGTCTCCCAGAGGCCCTCCCTGGGGACTCAGCTCTAGGGCACCCACCCAGCCCAGCATGGCCACCCAGCCCCGATTCCTGGGGGGTGAGGTTTCCGAGGGAACGAGGGAAGACAAGAGAAGCACCTCCTAGAGCTTTGAGGGACAGAGGGACGCATTTGTCCATCAGGCCCATTCGTGTCTGAGGACACAGTAACAAGCTCAAACCTAATTAGACTTCATAAATAGAGCTCCTGAGCGAGGAGAAACAGATTCAGGGCCACCTGCACGGGGAAGGAAAACGGGGACTCAGAGCCAGGGCTGGGGCGGGAAGAAGCCAGTGCGGCCAAGCCAGGCCTGCGGCCTGCCAAGAGCAGCAGAGCCCTGAAGGCAGGAGACCCGGGCGAGAGGTCCACCACAGGCAGACCGCGTGAGTGGAAGGACCTTTGGGTCAGAAATTTGACAGCTAACAATCCCATCTGGACATGGTACAGAAGGGAAGAGGGACCCAGGGGCTGCCTGTCACGGCAGGCGGTGGGTGGGACGCAAGGCTGGGGTGCTCAGCCCCCGCCACTCCCTGGACTCAGGGCCCTGCTTGCTCCTTGGGTCAGTCACAGCATCCGGAGTCATCAGAACCAGACCGGGCAGGGCTGAGCCACAGCTACATGCGGCCCCGAGAAGAGGGAAGAAAATTCTTTGGCCCAGACCAGCCAGAGGACCCTGAGGAGGGAGAGGCTGTCACCCAGAGGCCCCCTCCCCTGACATCATCTTTCCCTGGGACCGATCCCGATGGGAAGCAGGGTGCCCCCCGAGCAGACCACAGCCCAGGGGCTGCGTGCACCAGGGGGGGTGGAAGTCCCAGCTGGTTGCCCTCGCTGTTAGCTCTTGTCCCCTGGGGACTTGCTCTTGGTATCCCGCTTGTTTCCTAGCAGCTTCAGCACCTTCATGGTCTTGAACTTTCCCTTCTTCTTGCCCTCGGGTTCAGCCTCCTTCTGGAACTCTGCAGAAGAGAAAGGGGAGCCCTTAGCATGTGGGGAAGGGGAATACGTCGGGGCGGGCCAGGGGCAGTGACAAAGGCCCAGATCCTCTCCTCCAGCTCATCTGGAGTCTTGGGCACGTCACTTCACCTTTGTGAGCCCGCAGGACGGGGACCATGCCCCTGTCCCAGTGATTTGGCAAGGATCCAGAAATAAACAACTGTGAAAGCAGTCTGGAGCTTGGAAGCATGGCATGGATTTATCGACACGGACACTGACAGAGCTGGAAGGAACGTCAAAAATCGTCCGCCTCACCCTCAGTTTTCACAAGGCAACTGTGGGCCTTTGAAATGGACTAACACCCGCTGAGCTCTCTGCAGGTGCCAGGCCCAGGGCGAAGTGCGTTCTGTGCACCATCCTGGGAACGCTCTGCACCCCCATGCTGCAGCCGAGGAGGGGGAGGCCTGCACGGCTGAAATGACGGGCTCCAAGTCACCCAGCTAGTAAGTTCCAGAGCTGGGCCTGGAAGCCGAGCAACCTGACTAGAGTCCAGACCTAACCACAAGGCCACAAAATGAGTCACTGGTAGAACCAAGATGAAACCAGGCTTCCTGACTCCCAGGCCAGTGCTCTTTTAGCTGTTCCGGGCACCATCTTATCTCAGGAGGCACGGCTGTTTCAGCCCACAAACTTCTTTTTTTTTTTTAAGATTTATTTATTGAGAGAGAGAGTGCATGTGCAAGCACCCGGGTGGGGAGAGGGGCAGAGGGAGAGAATCCCCACTAAGCGCAAAGCCAGACGCAGGGCTCCATCCACCACCATGAGATCGTGACCACAGCCGAAATCAAGAGTCAGGGGTTTAACTGACTGAGCCACCCAGGTGCCCCTAGCCCACAAACTTCTCCAAGATCAGCTGCAGATATCGAGGAGGAACTCCTGACTTCAGGCAGCCGCCCTGGGAAAGTGCTCCTTACCCACCCCAGCCCTCCCCATAGCCCACCCTCTGAGCCCAGGCCACAGCCTTCCTGCCTCTAGGCTAGCCTGCCTCGCCACACATGGCCCTCCCTTCAAGAGAGAGGCTAAGAGTTTGCACACACCATCCTTGGAGCGCCCGCTCCAACCCTCTGTTCAACCTGCCCCCTGCCCTCCCACAGTTCGGGTGGACCAGAGCCCTGGGAGGGGCCTCACCTTTCCTCCTGATCATGGCTTCCAACATCTTGTCTTCCTCCTCCTCCCTGAAATGAGAAAAGGGAAGCTAAGTGTCCCACAGGAGGAAGGACACATATTCTCTCAGTCCCTTCCAGCCTGAGTCCCTCCCACAAGTTGAGGGAGGGTGTGCTGGGGTTGCTGGCCATGAGGGCAGGGCTGGCCTGGCCCGTTCTGGGCCCTTCCTGCAGGGACCACCCCCCCTCCCCAGGCACCTCACCTCTGCCGGTCCTCATCCAGGCAGTTGACGATGGCGTTGCGCTGCTCGATGAGGGTCATGAGCTCCCGCATCAGCACCTTCTCTCGGCCCCGGTCCTCCTCTGTCCAGTCCTTTTCTGCCCAAGGAGGAAAGTTGGGGAACTGAGTCGGGGGAAGCCCTCCTGCCTTCCCAGGAAGCCCGGGACCAACGCCTAAGTGCTGAGGTGGTTGCAACCTAGCCCCATCCTGGATCCTGTGAGGACAGGAAGGAGGGCCCACCTGGGGAGGGATGACAAGTTTTGGGGGAAATGAAGGTTGTTCAGGAAGAGACCAAGGATACTAGGCTGCCTACCAAAAAACCCCTCAAGGGGGCTCCGGGATGGCGAGCACAACACATGTTCTGAGAACAGAGACGAGCTCTTGCCAAAGGGGCTCCTGCTTTTGCTCATTCATTCAACGAATGTTCACTAGATGGTTTCTTGGAGGCAGGATTCAGGCTGGACCTGCTGAGAGCCTCCAAGGGTGGGCTGGCCAGAGCGGGGCAGGGTTGGGGAGGTAACAGGGGACCCCAGGGGTCCTTATGCAATAGAAACAATGTAACCCAAGTGGCATATTGGGATCTTCACGTAATGCCATGAAGGAGGGCAGATTAGAGGGGACAGGATCCTGGAGGTGGTGAGCCCAGCCAGGTGTCCCTGAGGTGTCATATACCTGCTGCCCCACCAGCCTCCTCTCAAGAACCTGAGCCATCCCAGAGGACCACCCAAGGGCCCCCCTGCACCTTAGTTTCCCTTTCATCCAGCCCAAAGGCTCCCAGGGGAAGGGTGCCCACACGAGCCTTCCCTCTATAACATCTGCCACCGCAGGCCTCCCTATCTTGAAATAAACATCCTGAGGACACCCCCACCCCCCGCACCCGGTCATGTTCCAATGTCCGTACACCTCACCTTGCCAGAGCTCAGGAGCAGGTGGCCCAGCGGGGACAGCACAGGAGTCACCATCCCAATTCAAATCCCTCTGCTACTTCCCAAATGTGGGGCTGGGGAGGTCATGTCCCTACACTACATGTGGGGAAACTGAGGCTCAGGGAAGTTGGATCCTTGACCAGTGTCACACAGCAAGGGTGGAGCCAGTCTTTGATCCTGGGTAGCTTGATACCCCCAAGCTACAGCCCTTATGGTGTTTTATAGGTCCCTAACCGACCTGGGGTCTTATAAATCAGTCCCACCCTGCAAAAGCAACCTCTGGGACAGGATGACAAGCCCAGGACGTGCAGCCATCACACGGAAGGCTGGAAAAGCAACACAGTAAGCCCAGGGCCAGGCTGGCCTAGGGCGCGCACACAGGACGGACTGCGCCCACTCCAGCCACAGGGCCTCACTGTGGCTCCCTCTGGTGGGGGCTGTGCCCCAGACTCCAGGAGATGTGGGCATGACTCATAGAGGGTGGTGGAGTGGCTTCCAGAGACACTTCGGCCTCTGGGTCTTATCCAGCCTCCCAAGTTCCCTAGTCGGTGGAGAGGCAGGGCCACTGTCCCGGCAGGCAGGAGGGGCTGCATGCGCTGGAACAGGCCAAGTCAGAGACAGGGATTAGAAGCCCAGCGCCACCACCAATGGGCAAGACTCAACCTCTGGCTCTCTATTTCCTCATCTGTGAAATGGAAACAGTGAAGCCCACGGTCTGTGCCAGAGGAAGTGGCCAAAAGCCCTGGCTCCTGTGGTCTCTCTGCCTACCTGTGGCTCAACTACACATCAGGGCCACAGACCCCAGCTCAGCCACATAACAACCATCAACCACCAGCCCCTCGGGGGGCACAGAGTGTTGCCACTCAGGAATACCCTACAAGGTGGGTACCTTCATCCTGTCTTACACTTGAAGCCACTAAGGCTCAGTAAGGCTAAGAAACCTGCCTAGCCCCCCTTCCCCGGCCCCGGCCCGCCTCCAGCATGTTCGCGGTGGAACACGGCAGAACACAGGACTATGTCACTCCACACCCAATCCCTCCCACTGCCCCCTCCAACATCCCGCCCGGCACCCCCAGAGTCCTTCTGAGCCAGTGTGCACGGGATCCTTCCACCTTCCCTCCCACCGCTGGTGAAGTCTGGCCATGCTCTGGCCTCAAGGCCATGAGCCCCAAGGTGCCTCTGCTGTCACCCACTCATCTGGGGCAGCCCTGGGCCCTGGAGACTGAAGGCTCTCCCCAGCGGGGACCTGTCTACCCACAAGTCCCAGGAGATAGGCCAGCCTGCTCCTGGGCCTGGTGCTCTCTGCGAGCCTGTCTTCCCTGATGCCACATGAGGCCACACCCCCACAGTGGCCACGCTGTTCCTTCTCCTGCCATCACTCGAGCCTATTTATCACCTGCTATGACCCAGACTGCACCTCCTGGCCCTCTCCCGCCTCGGGCCCTGTTCCCAGAGCCTGCCTGTGCGTCTCCATCAGGGCCGGTAGGGTAAGACCTGGGCCCACTCGTGAATGTCACAGGCCCCTGGGCAGGTGCCAGAGGAGTGCGGGGGCAGGGGGGCCACGCTCACCTGGCTTGTTGAGAAGACACCGGAGCTCATACTCTACATCCGCCTGGCGCTGCTCCAGGTTCTGCTGCTTGAAACTAGAGGGTGGGAACAGCCAACTATTAGCCCTACCCCTCACATGGCTGCCCTGCCCTGGGGCCGTCAGTGAGGAGTGAAGGCAGGGAAGATGCTCCGTGCTGAACTCCACGGATTCTGGGGGGCAGAGCAGGGGAGCCGAGCGGGGAGGACTCACACATAGATGAGCTCTGACTCCCGCCGCACCAGCAGATGCTTCTCGTGGATGAGCTTGAACCAGTCCACCAGCATGTCATCCTCACGGCCCTCTGAAAGCCAGATGCCCACTGAGGCCAGGGCTGGCAGCACCTGCAGCCCTCAAAGGAGCCGTTGGGGAGGGAGGCTCCCGCCACCCCTAAGCCCCACCCACCAGGCCCTCCCAGCAGCTCCCGCACCGGTCACGCCGCCCCGCAGCTTCTCCTCCAGCAGGACCCCACGGTGTTCCAGGGCATCTAGCTGGCGCTCGATCATGTCCATCTCTCCATGGATGTCCTCCTCGGGGATGTACTGGTCGGCCTGGACCTGCCCAACAACGCCCCGGTCACCGGAAGGACAGCCCACCCGTCCCACCTGCCCGCTGCCGGGCGCTTTGACATTTCACGGGCCAGCACTGGCCTCCACAGACCCCGGGCCTGGGCTCTGTCCCACACCCCAGCGCGGCCGGGGGCAGGAGCCCGGTGTGGGGAAGGGCCGCTCTGGAGGGGGGCCCCAACCCCTCCGTGCCCCCGGCCCCAGCGCTGAAAGGCACCCCCAGAGGGACCAACCTCCTGCCTCTCGTGGCAACCCGCCCCCCTCCTCTGCCACTCCAGAAATGATATCACAATGTAAGAGAGTGACCCTAGGAGAGAGAGAAACTCAAGAACACTCTAATCTGTTTAACTCCAAGTGTATCATGTGAGTGCTTCCATCCTTGAACTATTATTAGTAACAAATGAAATGCACCAGCCACGCTCCAGCTTGAGAACAGCTGGTCTGCTCAAAATCCCCCTGACTGCAAGTTAAACCTTCCCATCGGGGCCCCCCCAAGTGCCCCTCTCGGCACCCCCAAAGGCAGCTGCCCAGAGAGCCCATCCTCTTAAGAGTCCCTGGGACGCCTGAGGCGGCTGAGCACCTGCAGGCTGCTGGCCGGTACCTTGCGCTTGATGAGGGGGAAGCCGTGTCCCGGGGCAGGTGGTCTGGCTGGCTTGGATCCCTTGGTGGTCTTCTTTGTGGTTGGGGATGCTGTGGGTGACGCCTTCCGGTTAAAAGGGTTCTCCTTGCAAGAAGACTAAAGGTAGGGAGAATGGCAGAGGGTAAGTCTGGGGAGGGGGGCAGTAAGACCCCCGGCAGCCTGACTACATGGGACTAGGGCCTGGAGGCCGGGAGGGGGCAGCCCAGGCAGAGAGAGAGAGAGACCCCTAGCATTCCGGCTCTGGTGCACTGAGGCATTCAACAAACATTTCCCTTTCCACGGGCTTCCCGCCTCCAGTCCTGCACTGGATACCTTCATACGCTCTTGCTCTCCCAACCTCTCTGCAAAATGGGTATTGTAATGCCATTTTATTGTAATACCATTTTATAGCTGAGTACACTCAAATTCAGAGAGCTTAATTAATTGACTCAAGGTCATGGACTTCCTAAGGGCCCAAGCTAGGGCCGGGGCAGCCGTCTAGCACCAGGGGCAGTGGTCAGGACGTGGAGTTTAGGGCCAGACGGCTATGCTCGCTCACTCAGGCCTCACAACCACCCCTTTCTAGCAGGGACTCTCAGGCTCAGAGAGGGAAATGAAGCTCCTGGCCCGTGTCACCCTGACAGGAAGCAGCGATCCCACCTTCCATCTGGCCAGGAGATGGAGGAAAAGAGTAGCTTCCTTCCTCCCTGTCCAGGAAAGACCCCTCCCCAGGAAAGACCCCTCCCCTCTGCTGCACCCCGCTCCATGCACCCCAGCCCTCCATCTGTCTGACCCTCTGTGGAGAGCCTGCCCCCTGAGGTCAGCACAGCCAGACAGCCCCAGCACTGGGACGGGGCCTCGCCTGCCCCACGGGCAACGCCAATGTCCTCCAACTGCTTTCCCCAGCTCATCCGATACAGAGGCGTCGTGATGGGCCCCATGGAAAGGTCTCGCTTGAGGCCTGCAGTGCTCCCAGGAGTGTTTACCCAACTTTCTCCCAGCAGCTGAGGGAGGCTGGACGGAGCCCTGCTCACCTCACCCGCACTAGCCCATGGAGAGATTCTTTCAGGCTAGCAGTTGCCCTGGGATTTCTGGAGCAGGGAAAGTACCAGGGCCTGAGTCCAGGCATGGCAGGGAGACGGGGTTTGGTTTCCACAGGGCGGCACCTGGAGAGACCCAACCCCAGCGACGGGGTTGCAGAGGGCGGCTCTGAGTGTGACAGGCGGGCAGTATGCAGAGCTGAATAAACAAGTGGAGGGGCCCAGCAGGGTCAAACAGCCCGAGGCCCCTGAGTCCCCAGGGGTTCTCAGCCTTGCAGCCTGGGTGGCTCAGTCTGTTAAGCGTCTGCCTTGGACTCAGGTCATGATCCCAGAGTCCTGGGATCGGGCTCCCTGCTCAGTAGGGAGCCTGCTTCTCCCTCTGCCGTGCCCCCTGCTTGTGCTCTCTCGCTTTCTCTGTCTCTCTCCTTCCCTTTCTCTGTCAAATAAATAAAAATCTTTAAAAAATAAAATAAAATAAAATAAATAAATAAATAAATAAATAAATAAATAAATAAATAAATAAAAGGCACTGCCTGAAGGTGGAGGGCGGGGTGTCCAAAGTTGACCTCTTCCCCCACCTGCCCCCACCAGGGAACCCTGGGCCTCCTCAGAGCAGTCTGAGGCCCACAGAAAGGGCAGGGCCTTCTCAAGGTCACACAGCAGGTGGGTAGCAGAGCTGGACAGGAGGCTGCTGGCCAGGCCAGGGCAGGTGAAATGTCTGAAAGGTGCACAGGTAAGAGCTGGACCAACAGCTCAGCCCGATCCCCAGACTTAACCTCTGTCAGGTCCATCAGACCATGACTACTGCCACCCGACCTGAGCTGTCCTGACACCCTCCACCCGGGGCCACATGAGCCTTGGGCCTTCAGGGGCTGCAGAGTGTGCACAGACATGCACAGTCAGAACCTGGTGACCCAAAAGGACTATGGCTACAAGAGAAGCGCCCTCAGGAACCAGATGCCCAACGGAGTGTCCTGGACCCCTGATGACCCCTGGTTCCCGGCATGGAACTGAGGAACAATTACACGAACAGCCACAAAGGTCACCTGGAGAACGAGCTCCCTGAGATGGGTGCCCCCGAGAGGAGACGGAGTGCAAGGAGGGCCTGGGAGGGGGCCTCGGCACAAACAGGGCCTCGTCAACAGAAAGATGGATGGTGGCTGGGGGAATGGGTCCCGGATGGGCACGTACATGGGATAGGCAAGTAAACAGGTGCCCAGACGCATCACTCAATGAAGGGCCAGGCAGGTGGACAGGTGAAGAGATGGATGGGAGGACGGACAGATCAATCTGTGCATCAGTGAATCGAGTCAGGAATGGGCAGATGGACACAGCAAGGTCAGAAAAGAAGTCAGATGCCAGCAAAGATGGAAAACCCTGGACATTCCCGCCCTGAGACCAGACAGGATAGCAGCTCTTAGCAAGGGGGAGAACTCACCTTTACTTGGAGCTGCGGGGATGAGGTTCCAGGGGAAGGCACGGGGCTCTTGTCTCCAACCAGTAAGAGAGGGGTGGGGGCAGCGCCACTGCAGGGCTTGGCTGGCTGGGGAGCCGGGCTGCCCCTCGTACCGGGGGCAAGGCCAGGGCTGGCCTGAGGTGTCTGGTCCGCGCTGGGCTGCACCAGTTCCCCAGAGGAGGACAGGGAGGAGGAGTCGGCAGAGAGGCTGGCAGAGGTCCCAGGGGTGCCAGGGGCATGGACTGCAGGCTCCGAGGAGCTCTTGGGCACAACTGGGGGTTCCAGAAGCTCCCCAGAGGGGGTCCGGCTGGAGCTCTCGGAGGACAGGCTCTCCACACTGAGGGCTGGCGACGGGGCTGCCGAGGGCGGCTCTGAGTGTGACAGGCGGGCAGTGTGCAGAGCTGAACAAACAAGTGAGTGCATGAGCGCCCCGCGAGGAGGCACAGCCCCCCCAACACCCTCCCCTCTCCACAGAGTGCTTCCATGTGCGGACAAGGCTGGGGCCCAGAGAGCAGCAAGGGCATGACAGGACCAAGGTCAGTAGCCGCCGAATCGTCCGCATTCAGCGCCCACCCTTCGGGATCTGGGGCGCCACCTCAGGGCGAATCTGTAGTCCTGGGTTCCCTCACTGCCCCTCACTTCCTCCCGCACGTGCCCGCTGCCTCCACTGCCCCTCCCAGGTCTGATCTGACCCAAAGCAAAAGCCCAGGGGAGGAGGCGAGGCTGCCAGGGGAGGAGAGGGCACAGAGAGCCGAGGCTGGCCCGTCCTGTGCGTCGGACCAGCAGGAGAGGGGAGGAACCGGCAGCCCTTGCAGCGCCGGCCCTGGCCAGGCACCGCCCCAGGCCGCGTGAATCCTCGTGTGGGTGATGGATACCATGCTCCGAAGCATCGCCATCTGTGTTTTCCAGATGAGGCAGCAGACTCGGAGGGAAGGCACTTGCCCGGGAAGGGCCGGGGCTGACACAGCTGTGTGTGACTCAGCACTCGGCGTCCTGCAGCTGCCCACCCCCCATAGCTGGAGGGCCCCAGGGTTCCGGCAGGGGCCGGAGCGGGGAGCCCCGGGCCACCTGAGCACCTGCCTCCAGGCACCTCTCATGTGCTCTCAGCTCCCCTGTCCGAGGGGCTCCAGCTGAGGTCTTGGAGGCGGCCGCACCCCAGCCATGATGGAAGGTGACCAGGCCTGAGGCCTGAGAAGCCCGCAAGATGGTGACAGACAAAAACTGCGATGGCGGGGGGGAGGGGGGGGGCGCCTGGAGTGGCTCAGTCAACTTAGCGTCCGACTCTTGATTTCAGCTCAGGTCATAATCTCAGGGTCCTGGGATCAAGCCCCAAGTCGGGCTCCACGCTCAGTGGGGAATCTGCTTGAGATTTTCTCTCCCTCTCTCTCTCTGCCCCTCCCCCTACTTCTCTCTCTTTCTCTCTCTTTCTTTCTCTCTTTCTCTCCCGGTCTCTCTCCCAAATAGATACATAAATCTTTTTAAAAAATAACTACAACGAGGGAGCCTGGGTGGCTCAGTTGGTTGAGCGACTGCCTTCAGCTCAGGTCATGATCCTGGAGTCCCGGGATCGAGTCCCACATCGGGCTCCCTGCTCAGCGGGGAGTCTGCTTCTCCCTCTGACCCTCCCCCCCCTCATGCTCTCTCTATCTCATTGTCTCTCTCAAATAAATCAATAAAATCTTAAAAAAAGAAAAAAAAATAACTACAACGAGCCTGGATGAGTGGGCATGGTTGGAGGGAGGCACAGCGCCCCAAGGCTGGCCCGCCACCACTGTCTTCCAGATGGGGACACTGAAGGCAGACACAGGGAAGGAGCTGCTCAAGGTCACACACAGCCAGGTGAGGGCCCAAGGTGCCCGGCGACAGGAGGGTAGTGACTAGACAGGCAGGACTCAAGCGAACCCCAGCCACATGCTGTCCAGGAGCCGGGCGGTGCTGAGCCCCTCACTGAGGCACACATCGCATCCTCACGACAACTTACCGTGAGGCGGGTTACGGAGGGTTAGGATAGAGTAGAACCTCTGGCCTCCTGCCTGTCAAATCTTGCCTCTACTGCTCAATGCTGTGAGGCCTTGGGCAAACCCCTCTCTGTGCCTCCTTCCTCACCTGCAAGATGGGAGCGTGCTACCTACCCCACAGGTGTGTTCTCGAATTAGCTGTGAGGACACACGTGGCCCCCAGCCTGGCGGGGACCCCACTGCACCACACAGCCTTCCCCAGCCCTGGGCTGACTCCGGCCCCCAAACCCAGCATTTTGTCAGGAGAGCTCCCAGAGATGGCACTCACCAAGTGGGGATGCGCTGGGCGCGCGGGGGGCAGGGCGCTTCTTCGTCTTGGGGCTGCTGGTGGGGGTGATGCCATACCAGGGGTGCAGGGACTTGGGTGTGGACTCGGCCGAGTGGGCCAGGGCAGGGCCAGCGGCCAGGCTGGGTGCAGCTGGGGGGTCCTCCTCCTCCTCCTCCTCCTCAAAGGGGTTGTAGGGCTTGGGCTCCGGGCCACCTGTCACCTGGCTCTGCTGGGCCGCCTCCTCCACGCCTCCATTCTCCACCTGCCTGCCGTCCCGGCTCGGAGGGCCAGGGCTGCTGCTCGGAGGGAGGGGGGCTGGCTTCTTCTTTGGCTCTGCCTGCACCAGTGTGATCCATGGGGGGTCTTTCCTGGGGGCTGGTGTCCTGGACGGAGGTGGGAAGAGGCAGAAACCACTGGGGAGGGGGGCAGCATCCTCCTCTCTCTGGAGAGTTTTAAGTCCGTTTCAAAGAAAGTGAACGAGAAACTGCACCCTTCTCCCCCAGTCCCGTGGGGTCAGTCTGGGCCCAAAGCTGAAATGGGGAGAGTGAACCTTCACATCACAGCCTCCGTCAGCCCGGCCCAGGAAAGGACCCACAGGGGCTCTCTGTGTGAGGCTGAGAAAGTCACCTGGCCCCTCTCCATAGTCGCCCATCTATGAAATGGGGACAGTAACCTTCACAAGGGCATTCTAAGGCTCCAATGGGCACAGTGCCTTGCGTACAGCAAGCGCTCATTGAGCATTAACTACTATTACAGCTGGGGCCCACTCTCCCCCTGAGACTACCCAGGGGACGCACAGCTCCAAAGAACAGCTGGAAATAGCTGTCCTTACGCGGGACACAGAGTCCCAGGCTGGAGGGCCTGAGCCAGGTACACAGCAGAGCTTTTCTGGGTCTTTCTAGACCCAGCTGCCACTTCTCACAACAGCTCTGTGAGGGAGGCCTACATCTCCCATGTCACAGAGCAGCAGGGGCGTGGAGAGGTCTAGGGGCTCCAGAGACACTGTCTCTACCAGGACTCCTCCCCACAGCAGTGGGGACCCCAGGGGAGCCCCAGGGAAGGAGATGTGGGCCCAGCACTCAGCCCCAGCGTCACCCACCCAGAATGAGCCTTGCATGTCCTTGGGAGGCTCTGCTGGTGAGTCATGTGTCCATGGAAGCCTTGCCCACCCCCCAGACCCCAGGAGCACCCCCATTCCCAGCACGAGAGCCTCCAACATGGGAAAGCCTCTCCGAGCCAGCGTACCTCTCTGACAGCTTGGGCGTCCCTCTCGGCTTGGGGACAGGGGGTTCGTGTAGCCTTCCTAGATGGGAAAGGAGAGTCAGACAGGCCTTCTTCATGGGCGGCTGCGGGCTGGGCAGCAGAGCTGAGCACTGGGGAGCCGCGGTGTGCCCTCCCTTTCTACCTGGCAGAGCCGGGACTCCAGGTGGCCAGGGCCACCGTCACCTCCCACCTGGCACCGCCCAGCACTCGGGGAGATTAGATAAGCACCAAAGGTGACAGGTAAAGAATGGTCATGGGGGCAAGGCCAGGATACCTGGAAACCCCATCGGCATTTCAGCCGAGAAGGGGGGACCCAAGTGTCCCTCGGACACTTCCCCAACGTGGACAGGAAACACTGCCTTAACTCAGCCTCGAAGCCTCCCCTGACCCCCGAGTGTCCCCCATGAAACCCACGGCAGCCTCTGCTTCCCCTGTCTTAACAGCCTTCCACATTCTATAGACATCTCTATTATCTGTGCTTGTCTCCCCGCTGAGCCTGGCAGGGCCTCGAAGGCACAAATAGGCCTAAACAAGATCTGTCCGCAGGGCCTGGGCTCAGAGCGGGCCCCCCCCGCCCCCGTGCATGTGGAGCTGAACAAGGCCCAGAGAATGCGGACACACGAATACTCCCGATGCACACGTACATTTAAACACCAGACGCACCCCTGCGAGTGCCCGGCCCCCGCTGGACCCTTGCTCACCATTTACTAGGCCACTGTTGCCACCCTGCTCAGCCAAATTCTCGTGCTGCAGACTGGACCGGGGCCGGGGCGTGGGGGGTGTCAGGGCTGGGCTCTCGGGGGCCTTCCTCGGGGCAGGCGTGGGGCGGCCGGCCGGGAAGCTGCCCAGTTCCTGTGGTTTGCTTGGAAGCCGGGGCTTGGTGGGGATCTGGGGCCGGGCCTCGGGGCTGGCCTTGGGGACAGCCACCTCAGCCTCTGCGGGCGCACTGGCACCCGCGCCGCCTCCGTCCACATCCCTGACTTCTTCTGCAAGTTGCTGCTGCTTTGGCTGCAGATGGGGCCCGGACTTGGCCCCCGACCGCCCCCCGGGGCCCAGCCTGGCACAGTGCTCCGCGCACACAAAGGTGCCTTCCTCAGGCCCACTTCTGTAAGCTCCGGGGAGCAGGGTGCTGGAGCACTGCCGACACCTGCCAGGGAGAAGGTGGGGAGGGGGCTTCAACGGAGCCAGGCACCCAGCCTGGGACACGGGCTCCCCCTCCCCCAGGAGCCCCCGCTCTTCCTGCCCGCCCTCCTTGCGTATGCCAGCCTGGATCTTGTACCCTGGACTTCCCACAGGAGGAGGCAAGTGGTAACCGCCAGAAGCACAGAACAATAAAATCACATGAAATCAAGCAACATAAATTGTGAAACATGCCTTCAGTTTGTGCTGTAAGAGGAAGCAAAGGTTTGCCCCCACGCGGAGGTACCAGCCAGTGCCAGGGCCGTCGGTCACCAGCGGCTCAGGAAGCCGACTGAGTTGTTGTCAACCAAGCAAGGTTTTTTTGGTTTTGCTTTTTATGAAATAGAATAAAATACAACATATCGGAGTGTATCGCACAACTAAGAATATACTGTTTGAGGAAATACTGATTCCAGTTGTGCGTCTATTTACGCGGGGTCTTATTCAGGTGTGTATTCACAACTGGTCACAGTGTCAAATGTATTTCTTACTGGGGGTCACTGGAAAAAGTCCTTAAAATGCTGTCCTCATGGCCAGATGTGAATGTGTTAGTATGACAGTGCCCCTGCTTGAGCTTTGCCCTCGTGACACCTCAGTTCTGCAGTCAGGCCTCTGGGGTTCCAGGCCTGGCCACCACACCCCCACAGACATACACAGACACACAGAGACACAGAGACACATACACACACACCCACAGACACACACACACAGACACACACCCACACACTAACCCATAGTCGAATGCATGTTGGAACTCAGTCGCTGGCTTCCCTTGACTATTTTTTTTTTAAGATTTTATTTATTTATTTGACAGCGAGAGAGGGAACACAAGCAGGGGGGGTGGGAGAGGGAGAAGCAGGCTCCCTGCCAAGCAGGGAGCCTGACGTGGGCAGGGAGCCTGATGCAGAGCTCCATCCCAGCACCCTGGGATCATGATCTGAGCCGAAGGCAGACGCTTAACAACTGAGCCACCCAGGCGCCCACCCTTGATTATTTTCTGATTGCTCTTTTGCACCATATAAAATGTTTTCAGAGGCGCATCAGTCAGTTCAGTGTTTGCCTTCAGCTCAGGTCATGATCCCGGGCTCCCTGCACGAGGCTCCCTGCTCAGCGGGGAGTCTGCTTCTCCTTCTCCCTCTGTCGCTGCCACCCCGCTCCTGATTTCTCTCTCTCTTGCTCACGCTCTCTCTCAAATAAATAAATAAAATATTTTTTAAAAAATGTTTTCATACATGTTCTAAGTTATTTGTCTTTTCCCTGTCTCTTACTCCATTTTCTTTAAACTTGGCTTCTTCCGGGAGCCACACATTGAAAGCAAGTTGTTATTGTGATTTTTTTAAAAATCCTTTCTTTTTTCAAGGGCTTCTAAAGCAGCTCCTTAATCGTCATCGGGTCGTTGGCCTCAGAGAGCTCCGGCGTGGGAGGCAGAACCCCTGAGCTCAGCTCCTCTGATTCCGTGACTGACACAGCTTCTCCCCTCACTAAGCCTTAGTTGGCTCATCAGTAAAATGGGTTGATAAGCAAGATGCTCTGGCATGAAGAGCCCCGCAGTGTGCCTGGCACACTGTGAGGCTGGATCCATAGAAGCTCCCCTCCTTGGAAATGGGGTGCTGGGGGGCTCCCCCCCCTGCCCCCCAGGCTCCCACGGCCACTCACCGGAAGCAGTGGCGGTGGTACAGCTTGCCCTCGGCCAGGTAGCGCTGGACCAGGTGCACGTGCTGCTGGCAGGCGGCGCACGTGCTGCTGGGGGTCTGCCGGGCGCCCTGCTCCAACAGGCTGCCCGACGACAGTTCCTCGCCCTGCAGGGAACGGGGTGGGCAGAGGGGCGCCGGGCCGTGGTCACCACCCTCCCTGTTCTAGAACAGCCCCCTTCCCCTCCCAGCAGCCGCTGTCCCCCAAGTGCACACAAGCTTCACGGTGCTAATGCACATTATTGGAGCCCCGGAGGAACAGAGGGAGGGACACAGTCGCCACTTTGCGGATGAGGAAACTGAAGCCCAGAGCGGAGGAAAGACTTGCTCAAGGTCACTGAGTCAGAATGGAAACAGAAATCCTGACTTCCAATTTCTGGGGCCCTCTCTGCCAGAAAGACGGCTCCTGGCTGTGTAACCTCCCTTCCCCTCGGCTGCTCTGACCCCTGTCCCATCCCTGCAGGTTGGCCCCTGACGCCTGACCTTGTCTTAGGCCCACCTCATCTGCCTTCTCTGCCTCCCCTCCTACAGCTGCAGCAGGGTTTAAATCCCAGTTTCTCTGCTTCCAAGCACCGTGACCCGAGCAAGCTGCTCATGTCCCTGGGCCTTGGGTTCCCACCTGCCAGTGGAATCCTATAACCCCTGCCTATCTCAACCCCACCTCACTGGGCACCCACGCCGGGCCAGGCTCCCCGGCCCTCAGGAGCTCCTCCAGCATAGACAAGTCGGGGAGCAGGTGGGAAAAGCCCTCTGCACCCCGTGAAGTGCTATCCAGATGTGAAGGGCTGGTGTCACTCTAAGCATCTTGGAGCGGGGCACTGACCTTAGACAAATGACCAAACCTCTCTGAGCCTCAGGGTTCTCGTCTGTCTAACAGGACTCATACCACCCACCTCCCAGTGTTGTTGAGAGGACAAAACGGAATCACGCTAGGAAGCTAAAAGCTCTGTCTCGAAAGGAATCAAGGGGAGTATTTGCTACATTACGTGTGTAAATCCTGTCACTGCCAGGATGACAAAGTCAGTGTGGCAGACTGTCTGATGCCCCCTTCCTAGGCCTGGTATCTCCTGATCCTGTCCCAAGCCCTCGAGAAAGAGTGGAGCTCCCTGCCCACAGAATGGGACCGGAATCTGGCCCATGCCCCCTCAGCCTGAGGCTCTACGTCCAAAGCCAGTGGGGAAAGGACCAAGAATCAACACTGCAATGGTACCCACTCAGCATCCCCCCCCACCTCCCGCCAGGCATCTGCCTACCTGAGCCCTGTCTTCTGGTTCTGCTAGAGGAGGTGCTTCGGATGGCGGGGAGGAGGGTGCCTGGGCCTTTCTAGGTGATGAGACACCAGCTGCCAAGAGACAGGAAAGAGTCCCTGAGGAAGGTGGCGACCCTGGGGCCCAGGAGGCCCCCAGCCGGCCTACAACTTGAACTCCACAGCTATGGCCTTTGGGAAGACCACCCGACACCGCCGGACCAGAACAGGCTCCCACTTCACACAGGCCAGGAGACACCTCCTCTTCCAAGCCAAGGGCCAAGGGCAGGCTGCTTAACCTCCCCGAGTCTCCACAGAGTAGGACAGTGACTCTGACCACACAGGGGCAGTGGAAACGCTAGCGCAACAGTAAAATCACAGAATGGGCAGGTGCCCAGCACGTGGCAGGACTAGGAGCTTCCGTCCCACCAGGGTAAGGGGATGGGAGGGAAGGCAAAGAGAGGAACCACATGGTGCTGGCCACCAGGTTCGGGAAAACGGGCTGGTGTGGCTGCACGCCCTCACAGCACAAGGAACCCACCCCAGCCCACCAGCCCCCTCGGAGACTCCACTCCTTTATTATTTCAGCAAATATTCACGCAGCACCTACTCTGTCCCCAGTGATGGAAATAAAAAATGAAAATTCAGAAAGCCGTATACCCCAAAACATCAATTTTACCATTTGATGATTTTAGGAATAAAATCCAAGTTCCTTACTGTCGTCTAAAATATCATTTACCAAACTAGATCACAATCTGTTAGCAGACCCGGAAATCAATTTAGTGGTTACAACCAACACATTTAAAAGGTGAAATAGAAAATCTCTTCACGCATCACATGCTGCTGTTTTCTTTTCTAGGTAAGCCCTACACCCAACGTGGGGCTTGAACTCACGACCCGAGTCGTATGCTCTACCTACTGAGCCAGCCAGGCGCCCCCGGCTTGTATCACGTGTGGTAACGGGGAAGAACCGTTCCCTGAAACTTGTTTCAGTGACATATGTGGGCATGAACTTGGACTGTGATGGGAATGTGTGTGATGAGTCATAGCCAGAAATTTTGGAAGCCCGCAGCCTCATCAAGTACCACTCCCCACCACCCCTCTGTCATCCCCTCCTCCCTGCTCAGTGCCTTGAAGCACGCAAGCACACCCTGCTGCCCCTAGCCTGGAACATTCCTCCCCAGGCCTTCAAATGGCCTCCTTCTTCTCTTTGTTCAAGGTTTAGCTCAAATGTCCCCTCCTCAGAGAGGTCCTCCGTGACCACTCATCTTGAATTAGCCACTTCATCCTCCCACTGCTTTTTATCCCGTCATTTTGTCTCCTTCATTGGACTCCCGTGAAATCACACTACCTCTTCATTTGTGCGCTCTCTCCCTCCCTCCTATTCTCAGCTCTCTCCCCAGCACCTAGCACAGTTCCTGGCACACCGGAGGGGCTCAATAAATATCTGTTAAATGAATGAGTAAGTACCAGGTGCTGGGGGCTACGTAGCCGGGAACCAAACACAGATGGTCTGCAGGGGAAGAGGGAGGGGTGATCCAAATATTTTGACCAGAGTCTTATGGGTTCACCATAAGGCTGGGGGCCGCAAGAGCACCTGGGGTAAATCAGGGCAGGCTGCTTAGAGGAGGCAAAATGTGAAGATCAGAGGATGGGTAGGAAAGAAATGTTTGTGGGTGGGAGACGTGGAACAGAAAATGGAGTTTGGGGCTGGAAGATCACCAGGAAGAAAGGCTGAGCAGAGAAGGAATATGATGTATTCAAAACACAAAAAATTTAGTATGCCTATGGCTGGGGCAGTGAGTGGCTCAAGCTAAGTGGGGAGAGACCCTCAGAGGCCCCACTAAGAAGCTGGACTGGGGGTTAAGCATCCAACTCTTGATCTCAGCTCAGGATTCGATCTTAGGGCTTTTGAGTAGGCCCCATGCCCAGCGTGGAGCACAACATGTGGCCTACTCAAAAAAAAAAAAAAAACAACACAAAAAAAGCTGGATTTTATCTGGATAACACTCGCCCTGCCCCCCGTGACTGCAATTTCACACAGCCACTGGGTGTCCTTCACTCATGCTCTGGTCCCAGACCACACCGTGGCTCCTGGAAGGAAGGGTCAGCGGCTGGGCCCAGGGTCACCGGCACCATGGAGCCTGGCACCAGCAAACACTCAGCATGGTGCTGTGTCTTAGCCAGGGCCAGGTTCCAGAGCGACCCAGTCCAGGGAAAGTCAAATCTGGTCCAGATTGCCCCTGAAATCCTTCTAGTCGCCCAGAAAGTAGAGCCCAGGACCATCTGGGGGAGTCTCACAGCCAGCTCTGCCTCCAGGGTGGGAACACACTGCTGTTTCCTTTGGTGGAGCAGTGGGTGGGACACAAACGGTTTGCATTTAGAGGCCAAGTTGTATGAGAAGCACAAACTGTACCTTTATCAATAAGAACCCCCGCAAGCCCAGGGGGGTGCCCCCTCCCAGGCACGGCTAGGGGAGCTGGGCCCACCAGGGCTGCCCTCAGCCCGGGGTGCCCCATGAGAACCCAGGAACCCAGCGGGCACCACCAACAGTACTGTGGGGCCCACCCCTCCCGCCTCGCAGGTCCCCGGAAGGGTGGCCCTCCAGAAAAGAGCTTAATTGAAAGAGATTAGGGTCTGGAGACAGGGAACCTTCCAGAGGGTGAGACTGAATTGTGATTCTAGGTAAGCAAGCTACACTCTAACCAGTGAAATAAAGGAGTCATAATAATGTGAACCTTGAGGCCTAAATAAGGGCCAGACACAGGTGCACACTTCCTTACTTACTCTTCATATCAACCCTCAGAGATGGGGCACTGTTCTTATCTGCCTTGCAAAGGAGAAACTGAGGCAGACAGGTGACCATGGTGGCCCATTGTCATCCAGATAGTCAATGACGCCCATGCTCTTAATTTCCACCCTACTGCCTCTCACCAAAGACTCAGTGGCCGGGAAATGCTTTCATTTTGATTTCTACTAAAACACTCATAATGTTATTTGTTCAACTATAATATTGATCTCTCGTTGAGGGGGCGGGTAACAGGTTATCTTAATTTTTATGCTCTTTGCTACGTTCTCAATTTTCTACAGTAAGCATGTTTTGCTCTTAGTAAGAAAAAAAATAAAAAATAAAAATAAAAACCCTGACTTAGTAGAACACTTTTTCTTAAAGAGACAGGCTGAGATTGTCCACATGGAGAGCCAAGGCAAGGGGGAGGACCAAAACGGTACAGGGGAGGGGCAAGGCCCCAGGGACCCAGCACAGGTGTCAGGACACCTGGATTCTAGTCCTGCCATTCAGCTTTCCTGTGGCGTGACCTCGACCTCCTTGCTTCCTCTCTGGGCCCATTTCTTCTCTGCACAAGGAGAGGCCCAGCTGTCCCCAGGAGAGATTCCTGCAGGAGGATGCCCCAGGTGAGAGGCTCAGGAGCCACCCAGTGATGACTCAGAGCAGAGAAGCACCCTGTGGTTCCCTCAACCCCCACCCCAGGTCCCCAGCCTCTCAGTTCTCAGACCTTGAAGGTCATTTCTGGGGACAACGCTGCACCACAGCCCCACAGGGCCACTTGCTGGCCTTGGAGGAAAAGCCCCAGGGAAGTGTCTGCAAACAGGAAGTGGGGGGGGGTGGGCGCCAGAGAGGGGAACTCACAGCAATGAACGAATGAACGCGCACCCTGCTTTGTCTACCTTTATTCTCGTTCAGTGATTGGTTTAGGGGTTTGCTGCCCAGAAGACTGCGGGCTGCACGAGGGCAGCCAGCAACCCCAGGGCCCAGCGCAGTGCTGTCTTACTCAATCCCTATTTCAACGACTGAATGAATGATCCAGTGAATAAACGATGTGCTGTTTTCTGGGCTCCGCAGCCCGGCACCTCCCCAGCCCCACGCCCAGGGCCAGCCTCCCTGAAGGGCTGGCCCCCTCTCACCTTGGCCAGGGCTGACGAAGTGGTTGTAATACTGGGACACGTAGGTCATGATGCTGAGGCAGTCAGGGACACTCATGGAGACCATGTCATTGGGGTCCAGGAGAGCGGGGATCCCCAGCTCCTTCTCAGCCACTTCAAAGGCCTGGGGTGAGGGGCAGGTGCAGGGGATGGGGTGGGGGGAGTGGGAGTTGGGGGGGCAAGAGTAGGAGAGGGGGAAGGTGGGGGGATAGAAGCAGGGGTGGGAGTGGGGGCGGGTGCGGGGGGGGGGGGGGGGGAGGTGCGGGGGGTGGGTGCGAAAGCGGCCGGAACAGGAAGAGGAGGAGGCAGGGTTAGGCAGCCCAGGCCCGGCTTCCCTCAGTGGGATGAAGGGTCCAGGGCTATGGGCTCCCCTCAGCTCTGGCCGCACAGGGTGCCCCAGGCATAAATGGGCCAGAAGGAAGAAGGGGGGTGGGGAGAGGAGCAGCGAGGGCCCCAGTGCAAAGCAGCTTCTCAGACAGCCGGTCCAGGAGCCCCTCACCTCAGCTCCTACTCTGCAGAACCCCTGCCCACCCCGCCCCCCTCCACACACTCACAGCCTCTAAGCCCTCCATCTGTTTGGGGACTCACCAAACGGTTATTGTCGAAGACATTGTCCTTGGAAAGCGAATCAAAATCTCTGCAAGAGGTAAAGGGGAGGAGAAGCATTGAGGAGGTGACAGGGGCAGGGGTGTGGGTCTGGCAGGAATGGAGGTGACCTCATCCCAGCCAGCGTGGGCCTCAGCAGGGTTGGGGGAGGGGTCTGCGGACGGCCAACGAGGAAACTGAGGCAACAAGCACAGGCTAATGGAGCCGGGCCTGCTGGGTGGGCGCAGAGCAGGAGCTCATGCCCCTCCCCGCCCAGGCATCCAGGCAGAGCCTGGAAATCTCTCTGAAGGGGCGGGGCTCAAGTCCAAGCTTTTTTTTTTAAATCCAACCTTTCAAGTCTAAGATCTCTCACTATGCCGGTAAGTCACGTCCTGAGTCAGTGGCAAAGACAAAACCAAGACCAGGACTAATGTTTGTAATGACGGGGACCGCCTCGGATTGCTGACCTCAACGCCAGGCACTGTGCTGAGCTCCTGTCGGGAGTTTATTTTCATAGCAACTCTCTTGGCAGGTACTGACCCCACTTTACCAATGAGGACACTGAGACCCAGAGAGGGGAAACCACCCAGCCCTGAGGATCTACAGTTCTGGACCTTCCACCGGCTATCACAAACCCAGAGGAGCCACACCGACTTGCCGAATCCCTGACCCAGCCCAGAGACGAATGTTTAATGGAGCCAGGAACAGAAGAACAAGTTTGAATCCGACTGGAAACTGTACATACTCCAGAGCTACTTACTGACAACATCTGGCCGACCTGCTGGGCCACTCCTGAGGACCCCTTCCCTTGGGGGAGCAGTAAAGGGTTTCCCAGTTTCTAAGCTGGGACAGGTGAGAGGCAGTGGGGTCTGCCCTGGGGACCCTGGGGGGAGACACCTGGCCAGCCTGCTGGCTTCATCTGTCCCCTTCCTCCCCCTCAGCGCCCCAGGCTGCTCAAGTGACTGAAACTGGCAGAGGCAGCATAGCCTTCCGGCTGGCAGCCTCCTGGGTGCACCCGCCCAACGCCTTGCCCTTCTATGGCTGAAAACTGCAGCCTTGACTCTCCCACATGGTAGGCCCAGAGACCAGAACAGGCTAGCACCACCTCCAAGGTCAGGGTCCCAGGCTCGGCTCTTCCAGGCCTGGCTGTGCAACCTGGGGCAGGTCAGCAGTCTTCCCGGCCTTCATTTTCCCATCTGTAAGTTGGGGGAAGCTCTAGCACCCCCTCCCAGGTTGGTGGGGAGGGCTGGATGAGTCTGGGCTTGGGGAAGGGCAGGTCTCACTGATACAAGGGGGCAGGCAAGCATGCCCCCCTCCTCCTGCCCCCAAACTGCTCCAGACAGAGTCCAGGTACAATGAACGAACAGATGAATGGTGGGCCGAGGCAGGAAAGGGTAGCCTGAGAACCCCAGAGGGAGGTGCCCCAAGGTTGGGTGGACTAGGACAGGGGAGCTGACTAAGAATGAGCCTCAGCCCTTTTGCCACCTCTGGCCAGGCCGCTTCCCTCCCCCCCTCCCCCTCCCTCCGCCCTTGCCCCTACCCCCCCCCACCCCACCCAAGCCGAAGCTGGGTCCCTAAGCCCTCTTGCTTTGCCACTGCCTAACAATGTGACCATAAGCAAGCTATTTAAAGTCTCTAAACCTCAGCCTCCTGGTCTGTGACCCTGTGAACAGGTGAGGGGACACCAGCCCAGCCGCAACAAAGGCTTGTTCAGAGACCAAAGGAGACAAAAGCAACTTGTCTTGGCAGTTAACTTCAGTCTCCCCCACAGTGTTCCTAGAAGGCTGGGCTCACGTTTTGTTCACCCTGTGCCCCCAACACCCTATGTAGTTCCTGGTACTTAGTAAGTGCTCAACAAATATTTGTTGAATGAATACATTCTGGAAAATAAATTCTGTGAAAACTGTAAAAACCCCGGAAACACTGGTTTTTCCTGCAGCTTCTTCCCCACCCCCATCTCTGTCCCTAATCAACATCTGGGCTTTGGTAACAGATATTTTCTGAGAGTTTTCAAAAGCCCGGGAAGTTCTATTTGGCTCTGGGGGAGATGAAGTACACAAAAATGAAACCCACATGGTCTCTGCCCTCAAGGGAGCTTAAAGATGCCTGGATTGGGGGTCGGAGGGGTGGCCAACAATGAACCAGGCCCCCCAGCATGGCAAACCCCACCCCCCAGCAGCAGCAGGGCCCACAGCTCCAAGAGCTTGAACCCATTCAGATGACTTGCCCCCAAGCCCCTACCCTACCCCTACTCTCATGGAGATCCTCCCTATGCCTCCTGTGGCAGCTGGGCCTCAGTTTTTCTTCTGCACAATGGGCTGGTAGCCAGGGAACTGGCCCGCTCCACAAATGAATGTCTACCCATGATTCTGAATCTCTTCTCAGGAGGGGATCTGCCCTCCCCTGCTTAAAACCCACAAAGCTCCTCATGGCTCCATCCACCCTCCTTAGCCACCAAGAGGCCCTGGCGCTCCGGGCCAGCTGCATCTCCTGGTCCTCCCTGCCCTGTGCTATGGGCCCCAGCAGTGCTCCCTCCCCGCGGGGCTCTGCTCAGGTGGCCCCCTCCAGCCCGCAGGAAGGGTGTTCCCGCGTAGGGGGAGCACCTGGCTCCTACTATGTCCATTACCAGGCAGGGCCCAGCACAAACGAGGGAGTAACATACCCTCATCACACCCTACTGTCTAATCACACAACTTGTAATAACTCATGTTAATTGAATGCTCATTACCTCATATCATCCTCACAACAATTCCGTGACATAGATCCTATTATCAACCCCACTGTACAGATGAGGAAACTGATGTCTGGAGGGGTCCAGTGATTTACCCCAGGTCACACATCTAGAACACGGAGTTGCTGAACGAAGGCAAACAGCCTGCACTTTGATGCTGGCCAGCTCAGGTCCACCGATCGATCACCTTAGCCTGACACTGAGGTCCCTTCACACACTGGCCCTGTCCCTTGCCTCCTGCCTCACTGCCTGCTCCCCAGCCGCAGCGGAAGGCCCCTTGAGCCCTCTGCTCCAACACAGGGGTCCAATCTGGGTGCCCTTCTCCAGCCTTCCAATTCCTGCTCCTGAGCTCCCCGCACCCAGCCCCTGCCTGTGTTAGAGCGGCTGCCACCCACCCCAAAGCAGGCAGGCGCCCATGGACGTCTCCACCTGGTCTTCCTTTGCTTCTGCAGCTGCACCCCCCCAAAACCCTGTCCTCCACGGCCCAACACAGGGCCCGCCCCAGCACCCAGACACGGTAGCACACAGATGGGATCCTTGAGGCCATTCTCTCCTCCCTTGTCGGCTCCATCGGGGCCCTGCCAGGTCCAGTGCTCAGCGGGTGCACAGGTCTACAGTGGGACAGACACCCAAAGACCCCAGACCCGGCCAGGCTCAGGGAGCCCTGTCGGGGGCACTGTTGGCAAGAGAGGCAAAGACCAGGTCTCTGGGTCTCAAGGTGCCGATGAGACAGGAAGCCCAAGGAATGGTGGGCCCCAGCTTAATTTTCACTCCGTGTTTGATGAATGAGTGAATGAGTGAATAAATGAAGAGGTTCCAGAGTCCAAGGCAGGGGGAGCTGAGAGAGAAGCCCCAAGTCGACTGCTCTAGGGGTCTGAATAAATATCTCCATGAGAACCTCACCTGGCAGCTGGGGGCAAGAAGGGGCCATTTCACACCCTGGAGCAGCACCGCGGGGGGCTGTCAGTCAGACCTTGGGAATCTTCCCTCAGCCTCCCTGCCCCACTGAGGACCGCAGGGCTGTGGGTACACACTTGGGAGGCAGATCTGTGTCCTAACTGGGGTGGGAGGTAGGAGGTAGGTAGGATCCATTCATCCAACAACTATCAACCTAGGGTCTCCTCTGTGCCAGGCACTATGCTGGTGCCCTGAAGACAAGATGGCAGGGGGGCATCAGAGAAGTGCGCCAGAGGACCCCCCTCCCAGAGGGCCGAGCCTCAGTGCCTCGCGGAGAGGGGGTGGCTCAGTGCTCCTGTTTGAGTGGTGCGGGAAAGGCCCAGGGTCCCCAAGGAGGGCTAGGTGTCTCTTTGGCGGAAATCAGTGCCCTGTGGGCGGGGCCAGGGCCCTCGGTGCAGGGACCAGTATGCAGGGCGGGTTCAGTGTCCCAGGGGGCGGGGGCGGGGCCTCGTGAGGAAGGGGTCCCCCGCGGCGGGGGGGAACGGGTGCTCGGTGACCTGCGAGTCGTTCAGGGCCCGTCGTTAGGGTCTGCGTCTCGGTCTCCGGGGGGGCGGCGCCTGCCACCGCCCGAGCTCCGCGTCACTGAGGGGGGCGGGGGTCCCCAGCTCGGGCCCGCGCCGCCCTGCGCCCCGGCCCGCCCGCCGCCCCTCCCCCCGCCCCCAGCACTCACAGCAGGTCGGGCCGGTGCCGGTGCAGGATGGCGCAGAAGGCCAGGCCGTCCCGGAAGGAGCTGCTCAGGTCGCGGATGTCCACGCCGCGGTAGCCCTCGCATTGGCGGCGGCACCAGGCCAGCAGCGCGCCCCGTGGCCCCGCCATGAGCCGCGCGGGGCTCGGGACCCGCTCCGGGCGCCGCCGGGATCAAGCTTCACCCCCGGGCCCGACTCCGGCCGGTTTCCGGCGGCGGCTCCAGCTCCTACTCCGGCGCCGCTCCGAGCTGCGGGCGCCGACCCGCGGGCGGCGGGCGCAGGGCGGGGAGGAGGCGGGGCCGCGGCCTCGGTGTCCGCGCTCGGGCTCCGGCGCGGGGTCCCGGCTGGGCTCGCTGCTCCCCGCCCGGCCCTGCCCGGACCTGCCCGAGCAGCCGCCGCCCGCGTGGCCCGGCCGGGCCGGCCGCCGCCTACTCACCGCCGCCCGCCCCCCTCGCTGTGGGCCGGCCGCGGGCGCGGGCGTCCCGCTGGCTTCGGTCCCCGCCCGCCGCCGCCGGGAGCCCCGGGGGCCTGGCGCCCCACCCAGCGGCGGCTCCGCCCCCAGACGCGCCCCCGCCCGCGCGAGGGCCGGACACTCCGCAGCCCCTCTGCTGGGCTATCGCGGTCACAGCTTTTCCTCGGGAACCCCTCAAAGAACTCCGGGACAGCCCCTGGACTCACCCACTGTGAACTCGCCTGTCCCACAATGACGTCTTCCACCCGACTACCTCCACCACGCTGCCCACCTGGAATTTTCCTTTCTCCCAGCCTGCCCTCTTCCCACTCTTTGGCCTAAGGACGTGCAGATCCCCAACACTGACTTCCCTAAACCCACTCACCTCTCCTGCCTGAAACTTTGGGCAGGCATTCCCCCCCAACCTCAGGCCAATCGGGCAGTTCCCCCGCTGACCCCAAAGCACCCCCAGATGGCCTGATCCAAGGCCCTCCCCTGAACCAGTCTCTCACCACTCCAAAACGCCCCTGACCTCCGTCGTTCTATCTGCCACTATCCCCTTCCCCCATCGCCTGCCAGGGAGACTTCATGCTCCCACCCCACCCCCATCAGTCCAGGTGTACACTCCGCCATGTAGTGAGCCTGTCGACTGGTCCTTCAGAGTTCTCCTCTGCCCCTGTGTAGGCTCAGGGATTTCCTCCCGCCCCATTAGAAGAGTGGTGGGTGGAGCCCCTGTGGGCAGAACCCATAGGAAGCAGGCCCTTGTCCGGTGGGGCTCTGGGTCTCAGGCCTTGGAACCCCAAGCCTCGTTCTGCTTCCCTCTCCAAGACCTGGGTCAGCCGCTCCTCCCCAGAGGTCCCTCCTGACCTCAGATGAATCAGCTTTCCACTCTGGCTGCGGTGGTGGTGACATCACTCTGACCATTTTAATAGTGAGCTGGGATGGGTCTGTCGCTCCACCCACCATGGGAAGGAGCAGGGTCTTAAGTCACCTCTGTCACCCCTCAGCCCTCGGAGGTTGGAAAGAGCAGGGCTTTGGAAGTCCTAGGCACCCAGGCTGGAATCCTGTCCTTCCCCACTCCCTCAGCCGTGTGATCTTGTGCCTCCCTGAACCTGTTTCCATACCTTAAAAATAGGGATAATTCCCGAGTAATGTATAGAATTGTTCAATCATTATATTGTACACCTGAAACTAATATAGCACTGCATGTTAATTATTCTCCAATAAAAAAAAAATAGGCATAACTCTAGCTTTTACAAAGTAGCTGAGAGGATTAAGATATAATGTGCCTGAACTTTCAGTCATCACTCATAAATTCTAATTCTTGTTACCTAGTAACCGGTATTTAAACGTGTGGCAAAATGGATTGAAAACATTTTAAGATTTTATTTATCTGACAGAGAGACACAGCAAGAGAGGGAACACAGGCAGGGGGAGTGGGAGAAGGAGAAGCAGGCTTTCCACTGAGCAGACAGCCCGATGCGGGGGCTCGATCCCAGGACCCTGGGATCATGACCTGAACCGAAGGCAGATGCCTAATGACTGAGCCACCCAGGCGCCCCTGAAAACATTTTGTACCCAGCTTCTCACATGGGCCTTTTGAGGAAATTATGGAGGAGAGAAGCCCACTTGGGGATTGCCACCTCCTCAAGGACTTCCTAAGCCCCAGCCCAGAATGCCGTTATGACCCCAACCGGGCCAGCCTGCCATCTTAGATCTGTTCAAGGCTGGAAGGCCCGTTCTTGGCCCAGAATGTGGACTCTCCCGGGCCACCTAGGAAGTGGCTGCCGTGGGCCAGGTGGCCTAGCGAACCCTCTTGGCCCCTCACCAGCCTGTGCTTGCCACCTCCTGCCCTGTCCCCTTTGAGAAAGCAACTCCAGGAAAAGAAGGTTCCTTTCATTAAATCAGAGACTCGGCCTCAGGACCCACCTTGGCCTTCAAAGACCACCAGGACTCTTTCCTTAAAACCCAGGAGGGATTATATCCCTGTCCTCGCCAGCCTAAGGGGCTCCCTCCAGGTCCCCGAAGACAGCTCCAGAGCAGACCTTAATCCCGTTGCTGTAATAATAACTTATATGGCACAGCCCTCTGGGTCCCCATTAGCCCATCTGTGGCCTTTATAAACTCATTATCTGAGTCAGCTCACCGCGATAGGAAATAAGGACCTGCTTGAGCACAGCTGTGTCTGCAGGCCAGACACCTCGCCCCTAGGAACCCCAATTTCCTACCCTATAACATGGGGATAATAATCTTTGCCTTGCCTGCAACCCAGGGGTGTGGGTCATCAGCTGAGATAATGGATGGCAAACTTGCGCACAGGGCACCTGACTGGCTCAGTGAGTAGAGCGCTCAACTCTTGATCTTCAGGGTGGTGCGAACAAGCCGCACACTGGGCATAGAACTTGCTTTAAAAAAAAAAGGAAAAGTGCTGGGCAAACTGTAAATCCAGGGTTCAGGTGAGTGTTGGGACTGCGTTTACAGGTGAGCTCAGAAGCCACAGACGGCTAGGCAAGTCAAGTCACTGGGCCCAAATCATACCATAATTTCAGGATTAGGACTGAGGGATTTGGGCCTTTATTTCAGTGTTTTTCTTTATTTTTTAACTACCAATTAAGGGATCCCATTCTCCTCATCAAAAATTGAAAAATAAAAGCTGAAGTTCCTAGTTGCCTCCCTCAGTCCCAGTCCCCTTCTAAGAGGTAGGCACAGTTGTCAGTTTGAAACTTATCCTTTCGGACCTTGTACATGCATTTGTATTCACACATGGATTCAACACAGATTTCCTGAGCACCCACTTCCCAGCTTGGGATTCAAGGGGAAAGAAGAGTAAACGAGACAGGGTTCCTGCCCTCATGGAATTAACTTTCTAGCAGGGAAGACAGGCAGGGAACAAGAAAACAAATCAACAAAGATAATTTCAGATAGTGAGCGGTGCTGGGGCAAAAACTAGAAAAGATGCTGTGAGAGAGCCATGGAGACAGACAGGGCCACCAGGGAAGGCATCTTTGAGGTGGGGACATTTGAGCTGAAGAACACCCATCCCACAAGAAAGCACGTTGAATGCAAGCCAGTGAGAGATGTCCTTGCAGGTAGAGTTTGAATCTTTTCTGGTTTAATCCAGGCTAACAGCTGCAGGGGTCCCAGTGGTGGGGCAGGACTAGTCTGGTGAGTGAGACAGACTACTGGGTGATCTTTGTCCAGCACGATAAAGGGCAAGGGTAAGGAAGGTGTCCAGGGGAGCTCCCGGACTACTTCGGGAAAGAGCGCCTTGCTTTCTCCACTGGCCATTCTTTCTGCCAACCCGTTTTGCAGGAGGGCTGTGGAGGAGGCAGAGGCAAAGACAGGATGAAAAACCAGAACCCACTGGGGTAGGAGATCTAATATAGGATGAACACTGGTGGGAACAAAAGAGTGAGGGAATGACCAAGGCCTAAGGTTTACATTTGTCTTCCCATGCAGATCTCATGGTCACTTTCAGAAAGATAAAAGGGAGAGGGATTGAGGGCGCCTGGCTGGCTCAGTCGGTAGAGCATGCGACTCTTGATCTTAGGTTGAGTTTGAGCCCCATGTTGGGCAGAGAGATTGGAAATAAAAAAAAAAAAAAGGACAGCCTTAGAGGGGACACCACTAGGCACCTCTAGCTGTTGAGTTTATCTGATCCTGCACCTGCTCAGAGGCCGGTGGATCACTTCTCTCTCAGAGCCAGAGAACTCCATGTATGTGTGTGCAGTTCCTGGGGGTGGGAGGGGAGGCCTGGCTGGCCCCATTTCACCCACCACCCCTCTCTGCCACACACTTGCTGGAAGATCCTGGACAAAGATGTCATCTGCCCAAGTCCAACGTCAACATCTATAAAATGTGGAGGATTCTGTCCTCCAAAATACTATCCCAGGGGCCTTGAGATGCACACACAAATATGGTCTTTGTTTGCTAACAGCAAAACACTGGAAACATCCTAAATATTCATTAGTAAGGGACTGGGTAATTACAATTCAGCACAGCTACATGACAGAAAACCACACAACTGTTAAAAAGAATGTCATGGAAATACATCCTTGAAAGAAGTGAAAAAAGAAAGATGCAGAATAATAGGTATAAAAGGATCCCATTTTTACAAAACAATATTTATATTTCGGCGGGTGGCCTGCTTCTCCCTCTCCCACTCCCCCTGCTTGTGTTCCTGGCTCGCTGTCTCTGTCAAATAAATAAAATCTTAAAAAAAAAACGAACTCCGTATCAGAGCAGAAAATGGAGCCAACTCTTTTAAAAAAAAAAAAGTCACTGGGGCTCCTGGGTGGCTCAGTCATTAAGCGTCTGCCTTCGGCTCAGGTCATGGTCCCAGGGTCCTGGGATCGAGCCCTTCATCGGGCTCCCTGCTCAGCGGGAAGCCTGCTTCTCCCCCTCCCACTCCCCCTGCTTGTGTTCCCTCTCTCACTGTGTCTCTCTCTGTCAAATGAATGAATAAAATCTTTAAAAAAATAAAAATAAAAAAGTCATTATGCTTTGAATTTATGACAATAGCAGGTATAACTTTTTAAAATAACAGCTTTGAGATATAATTCACATACCATAAAATCACTCTTTTCAAGTGTACAGTTCAGTGGTTTTTAATATATTCACAGAGTTGTGTAGCCATCACCACTATTTAGAACATTTTTTAAAGAAAGATTTTATTTAATTATTTGACAGAGAGCACAAGTAGGCAGAGCGGCAGGCAGAGGGAGAGGGAGAAGCAGGCTTTCTGCTGAGCAGGGAGCCTGACATGGGGCTCGATCCCAGGACCCTGGGATCATGACCTGAGCCGAAGGCAGACACTTACCCAACTGAGCCACCCAGGTGCCCCTATTTAGAACATTTTCATCATGCCCCAAACTCTGTACCCATTGGCACTCA